TCATACTGAAGATGGTTAGTAGTTTGTTGTGAAGAAGGGGCGGTGGGGTTGTCTAATGGTTAAAGCGTTAGCTCGTCACGCTGAAGATGGTTAGTAAGTTGTTGTGAAGAAGGGGCGATGGGGTAGTCTAATGGTTAAAGCATTAGCTCGTCATGCTGAAGATGGTTAGTAAGTTTGTTGTGAAGAAGGGGCGATGGGGTAGTCTAATGGTTAAAGTGTTAGCTCGTCACGCTGAAGATGGTTAGTAGGTTGTTGTGAAGAAGGGGCGATGGGGTTGTCTAATGGTTAAAGTGTTAGCTCGTCATGCTGAAGATGGTTAGTAAGTTGTTGTGAAGAAGGGGCGATGGGGTAGTCTAATGGTTAAAGCATTAGCTCGTCATGCTGAAGATGGTTAGTAGGTTGTTGTGAAGAAGGGCCGGTGGGGTTGTCTAATTGTTAAAGTGTTAGCTCGTCATGCTGAAGATGGTTAGTAGGTTGTTGTGAAGAAGGGGTGATGGGGTTGTCTAATGGTTAAAGTGTTAGCTCGTCACACTGAAGATGGTTAGTAAGTTTGTTGTGAAGAAGGGGCGATGGGGCAGTCTAATGGTTAAAGTGTTAGGTTGTCACGCTGAAGATGGTTAGTAAGTTGTTGTGAAGAAGGAGCGATGGGGCAGTCTAATGGTTAAAGTGTTAGGTTGTCACGCTGAAGATGGTTAGTAAGTTGTTGTGAAGAAGGGGCGATGGGGCAGTCTAATGGTTCAAGCATTAGCTCGTCACGCTGAAGACCCGGGTTTGATTCCCAACATGGGTACTGCCATATTTTACTGTAGATAACCCGAATATTGGAGAGCAAAAAAAGCAGCCTGTAGAAAGGGGTTTGCTTATCTACGGGTAACACTTTCGTCAAACTTTTTTGCTAGTGACCAGTAAGAATACGACATCATATCTTTTCGCCTGAACGAACAAGAGATGACGACTTTGTGAGTAAAGACATCAAATTTGCAAATAAACACAACTAGGCAAGATTTTTTACCTATTCAGTTCTAATTTGCTTTTGCTAGGCATTGTCTAAATGCAGGATTAAGATTACCGTGTGTAATTGTCTCGTATACAGGGATTAAGATTACCGTGTGTAATTGTCTTGTATACAGGGATTAAGATTACCGTGTGTAATTGTCTTGTATACAGGGATTAAGATTACCGTGTGTAATTGTCTCGTATACAGGGATTAAGATTATTATGTGTAATTGTCTCATATACAGGGATTAAGATTACCATGTGTAATTGTCTCGTATACAGGGATTAAGATTACCATGTGTAATTGTTTCGGATACAGGGATTAAGATTATTATGTGTAATTGTCTCGTATACAGGGATTAAGATTACCGTGTGTAATTGACTCGTATACAGGGATTGAGATTACCATGTGTAATTGACTCGGATACAGGGATTAAGATTACCGTGTGTTATTGTCTCATATACAGGGATTAAGATTACCATGTGTAATTGTCTCGTATACAGGGATTAAGATTACCATGTGTAATTGTCTCTATACAGGGATTAAGATTACCATGTGTAATTGTCTCGTATACAGGGATTAAGATTACCGTGTGTAATTGTCTCGTATACAGGGATTAAGATTACCATGTGTAATTGACTCGTATGCAGTCAGCACACCGAATCCTTTCTCCACACCGATTGGATTCACCAGATCGTCGAACCGACTCAGATCACTGAACCAATCCCGGTCACCGAACTGTTAGATTGAACTGTCAGCATTCGCCAAACTATGCGTTCCTCGGACCTTGCCTACCAACTCTGTTGATCCCCTCTGCCATTGTTACTTCCCACACTGTGCATCTTCAGAATGCTCCTTGAGGTTTGGCAAATGTGTATCTTCGCAGACGTTCAGACAACAACTTTCTTCCCAGCCTATGGGTTCGTCAGAGCCTACCCTACTTGTGTCTGTGATGCCTCCCAAGATACTCAACCCACATCGAACCTCGTCTTCGTTCTCGCCCTTAAGATGCAGGAATAGTTCTGGTTGATTCGACACACATGATCTCTTGGTTCGCCGACCACCTATCTAGAGTGAGTGAGTGAATTTAGTTATATGCTGCACTCAGCAATATTCCAGCTATATGGCGGTGGTCTGTAAATAATCGAGTCTGGACTGGACAATCCAGTGATCAACACTGACTGACTGACTGAGTTTGATTTACACCGCTTTTAGCAATATTCGAGCAACATGACGGCGGGGGACACCAGATATTGGCTTCACACGACCTATTACGACAAGCATGGGTTACTGAAACCTATCTAGAGCAAGATACCAGATGATCGACTTACTACATTCAACATGATGGATCGGAACTTGTCAACACTCTATTTTTACATCCTCATCGAGGATCGTGAACTTGCATCTAGAAACGGCCAAATTTGTCAAACTATACCAGCTATCAACATGATGTAATTTGTGATGCGGTGAATGCCTAACAACGAGCGGCATGCTCTATGCACGACTTGTTTCTCCAGACTATCCTATGGCCTGTGAGGTGCTAGAAGATTTTTATAAGTCACATGACTTATCCCACCTGACCCCCTTGTTCTGCTGGTTGTACAGAGGTAGTAGCTTTGTCAGTAGCGCAGACATCTAAATTTCGCCTAAAGACTCCTCTGTGACTGGGGCTCATCTCATTCCAGATTTAATTGACCATCTGATCAACTTTTGGCAAGAAAACATTCAAATATGCAGCTGCAGCAAAATGGAATTGTGTACCCAAAAAACCTTAAATCTCCCTCTTCACTTGAATCTTTCAAGTCACAATTAAAGACTGTTCTCTTCTCCCAGGCTTTCCCTTGCTAAGTTCACAGAGCATAGGACTGTGAATGATGCGCTATATAGATTCATGAATGATTATTTGATGAATGATTTGGTTCAAGGAATCTACCCTTCGACATAGATATCAGCTCTACAACCACCTGTTTGTGAATTAGTAGATAAGCTTGCTATCCCGGAGTATTTTACGACACTTCACTGAGTCCTGTTACTGCAGTCAACTCGTATCAGCGTTATGATGTATCGCTGGATGCAATCATGCCTGGTTCGTCATCTTCATCACCCTTGCTTTTACATCATCAGCAAGCTTCTGGACAGGTGGGTCAAGTTTCTGCACATGGTACCAGCAGTGATGCCTTGTCAAGTAGCCAGCATCCTGGATTTTATGGGTTGTGACTCACTCTGTAATCTGGATACCGGATTTTTGTCAATGTTGACTTATATTTTGGTACACATATTTGCTAAATAGTCCATTTTTGTCTCTGACTTGGGTGTAGTGATTTGAATTCATACGTGTTTGAACGGCATATATCTCTAAATCCATCCAGCTGCTGCCGCCATTCCTATGAAGACACATTGCATTTGTTCTTCATCTGTCCAAATCATGTCACCATAACACGTAAACATTCAATCGCACATTTGATGGGTAAATAAGATGTAATATACACAGGTTGCTTGCTCTCTTATCATGCTGTTTATTATCATATATTTGTTGTATGTATGTATAAATGTCATGGAACATTATTCACGTAAGCTTGTTTACTAATCCATAATCACTTTGGGTGAATGAAATATGATTCAGATATCCATGGGCCAAGTATATCCCTTATCAAACCTTGTCTTTTGAATATAGAATCAGGCTATATAGTGGAATGATAGATGATACAGCATTTGATATAGATATTGTGTTGGGTTGTTGTTGTTGTGTTGATGTTTACATCTGCTTCCAACTGTTAAGTCGATGTCGCCGACATGGATGCCATATTTAAAGCCATGAATGAGGGAATAAATTTTGGATGGATATGGATATCCAAGTAAAAACTGGGTATTTAGTTAAAGTTTCGAATATAGTAATGATTTTGACATAAGCCAATTTTGAGTAAGTGGGGATAAGTAAATTATTGAAATATAAAAATAAGTAATTGATAATATAAAACAATAGTAATGATATAATATCTTTGCTTTTATGCTTGCTTTTCTTTTTAATTTCACCTTATAGAAGGATATTGAAACAAAATGCGAACCATGTACATGTTATATATGAAGATGAAGATGACCTGTAAGTTGTTAATGGAACTTGACATCCACATGAATATCTTACCAATGTGTTCACGTGAATAGCTATGTCTTGTTTTTGTTTATGACTTTTTCAAGACGAACATAAACATGAAAACAAGGTTGGGGAAGAAATAGCCTAGCTAGGCCAGAATCTCCCCCTCTTTTGTTATAAGAACAAGGATGGGAAACAAGTAGCCTTTAAAGTTGATTCAAGAGTGGGGAAAGTTTGGCCTTGGACAAACTTTCCCCGGGGAAGATAAAGCCTAGGGGGTGAAAGTTCGTCCTAGGTCCAAGTTTCCCCGGGGAAAGTTTGGCCAGGGGGGGAAAGTTTGGCCTGTTACACCGTTATAGTATCTTGCGATACGATTATCGCGATATGGTTCACATTCTGCAATATATTGAGCCATCCAAAGTTAGCTCCATTTGAATTATCTGCCCTTGATTTCCATAGCAAACCAATGTGCTCTAAAAGTGCCGAATATACTTTTATATCTGTTGGTTTCATGTAACATTTAACAAGTGGAAATGTCATTATAAGTGGCTCCAAAATTGCCAAATAGTCTACCAAATACTTTACGTTTTGTGGGTTTGAATGGTTTCATTTGGAGGAATTAAGTGGCCTCAAATGGACCAATTTGTATATGGACTTATTAGTAGAGCATTTTGTTATTTTTGTTTGTTTCATAATGGGGCATATGATATTAATTTATCATACAGGCCTGAGTCGTAGAAAACTTGTAGCTCTGTATAATGACATTCCAGTCAAGGATCTTAGCTATTGGAGGTCACATGCGATTTTAATCTTAAGTAGTTCAACTAAATCTTGTTTTTGTTTCATTTGGCAATAGTTTATGTTAACACATTGAATCTGAATAAATCACATACAGTAATAATAATTACATACTGCACTGAAGTACATTCTGTTTAAGCAAACAACACTGACCATAAAACTCTTGTTATACTATTACCTTTATCATTATGTTCGCAAAACGCTGGTGCAATATATTCCACATTAAGGCTCTATATTATTTTATTTATCTGTAAACCATTGGCATACAGCCATACAAAATGGGGACGGGGAGCCTGAAAGTATGGTGTAACAGCAACTGAGAAGATGATGTCGCACACAAAGAGCTATTATGAATTTATGATGTAAGCACTTGGGCAAAAACCTTCCAGTTAATATATCACAATATATATTGCAATATCTCTTATATTATTGCAATATGTCGCAATATAAAAATCAGGGCAATATCCAGCCCTACTGACAATCTCCATGCACCGAACCTACTGCATTCAGCACTCCATCAGTACTGTCATGGTAGCTCAACTAATTGAACGTTCCTATTGTGGATAGCGAACCCTTTTATTTGCAAGATGTTAATATTTAGCACCAAAGGAGGTGGTGAAGGTTGAGGGTAAAAAACTGAAAAGTACAAAAGGCCAAGTTAGTCTAAACTGACCTGAATATGGTAAGTATTACATTCCATAGCACTAAGTCATTAGCCAAGGTATGCCTAAATATGATATCCAAAACTGTCACAATGATAACCTAAACTGGACATGCAACTACAAAATACATTGGCAATAGTATATGTCCTCAAATATTCCTTAAAGTCCACCCAGTACCTACACCAAGTATTATCCTGAATATTCTGCCACAATCCTAAACATCAATACAATGTCAGAAAACAACACAATTTCCCAAATATTAAATAATGAAATGCACACTGAAATAGGCTACACAATCTCTATAAATTTCAGATAGATTAACAGTTAAAGGGAAGCAACTCTGCATGGCTTATTCTGCATGTAAACTGCACATTATTTTATGAGTGCTTCAATAGAGCAACTTGAACATGAAAGTTTGGGACTTACTTACACCTAAATGATTTACGCATTTAACAAGAGTGCAAACTGTGTTTCTACGATACCTAAATCATAAAGGACTTAAAAGATCACATGCTGTCATAGAGGTCTAAGGCAATATACGCCATAAAGTGCTGTACATGAATTATGCCTGATTGAAAGCTGAACAGCGCTACTTCTTAGATTACAATAACAAACTTATAATCGCTTAACATGCCTCAACTGATACTTATGCATCTAGATTTACATGAAATACCAAATAAAAGACTTAATACATTCTCGCTCGTTGCTGTGTTACTCCTATATAACTCAAAATGATGAGGATTCCTGAATATTCGGCCATGCCGCCTGAAACCTGCAAACTGGTCCAAACCGGATAATAGTTTTTAGACTGGTCATTTATATAGATTACGCAAGAAAATAAACCACCAGACTAGGTTTAGTCTATAGATGGGTAAGAAATAAAGAGCTGTTTCGCACATGAAACAGAACAGTTCCTATCTCAGTGGAAAGTCTTGCTAGGCCTCCTCACCTCAGCTCAAGCCTTCACTTACAGAGGTCAACTTCAGGCCAACAACCCCAAGGCGCTAATCCACCCCGGCGTGAAGAATGTGATCGCCAACACCATGTCCCGTTCCCACCGTCCCTGGCCGAGGGAATGGAAGTTATATCCCCAGATTTTCCAGTCAATGATCTACCCATTATCATGGCCCCAAATAGACCTGTTCGCCACAAGGTTCAACCACCAACTTCCGAAGTTCGTCTCTCCCATTCCAGACCCTCTGGCGGGATATCGACGCTCTAGCAATATCCTCGGAAGACCTAAACGCGTACGCATTCCCCACTCCAGCTCTGCTACCCAGAGTACTTCAGAAGCTGATGGCGGCCAACAAGATTTTGGCCAGTGAGTTGGTTTGTCAAGCTAAGAAGCCTTGCAGAGCCAAACCCAGTACCACTTCCCCGACCAGGATGACTTGCTTCTTCATCCAAACTCAGACCTGCGTCACGGGTCCCATCAGATCCTTCAGACCCTTCGTCTGCACGTTTAGTGTGCTTTGTTTGCATATCCAGAGCTCACCGTACGTTGACTCATTCCCTGTATGATGACAAGTGGAAGAAGTTTGAAGATTATTGTAAGGTTAGGGGTATTCCATCCCCTCACTTCCCCTTCTGCTCAGGTCGTCGCTGACTTCCTTCACCATCTCCGTGCTACCAAGAAACTCAAAGGTACTACTTTAGCCACTACTTTAGCCACCTATTTGGCGCATATCACTTCAGTGCTGGCTACTACTACGGTTACGAAGATCTCCACTGTTCCCGAGCTCCAGTACCTGTTGCGCTCTTGCAGACTCATAAACAACTCATAAACCTCCGGGCCTGGAACCTTTCCGTGGACCATTCCATCATCCGGTCTCCGGAGACTCTGAGGATTGTGAGCAAGTTATCTTCAAGACTTTCTTCCTGGTAGCTTTAGCTACTGCTGCTCGTATTGATGCACTTGATGTCAACAGCATGAAGTTCGAGTGAAAGAAACATGGCAAAGTTTTTCTAGGTCTCCGTTATTTTTACTAAGGCATTGGGATACTGTAACCATGTTGTGGCTTGATAGACTTAGAGGCACAGTCTTGTATTTCGATGTAGAGGTGTTCGACATTCACGCTTACTGACCTGTACTCCACAGAGCAATTACATCAGTGAATTGTGTCACTCCTGAATTCCAGTGGATTTTGTTGCGTTCTGGCTCCTAAGTTGCCGGGCACAGCCTTTGACTTACCTTAGGTGAAGGAGTGAGAGTCAATTTGATGTTGTCTGGGAACTGAATGTTAAAACGTGTGAGCTTTCCTTTTCGGTTTCCTTTCACCCTGTAAGTGATGGTGTCTGTGGGGACTGCTTCGAAGCAAGGGCTTGCCTGATTATTAGTCGAAAGACTTTAATTATGGGGTACCTTTTAAATCATGGCGAGGTGAGGCCTACATGCCGGGTTGCGTCCCTTTGTCTTGACTTGCGGCCAAAAACCACATCGCTCGGGAGTACCCATCTCCTTGGAAGTCGTTTTGCTTAGTAAGCCAAGGGGTTCCGGAGAACCCATCACAAGCATAGGAGTTGCGTGCGGTTGTAACGGGCCTCCCTTGTGAATCGCTATCTACGGTTGTCATCAGTCCACAGCTCCTCTTTTTGTTGTTTGCACTGTCCAAGACAGGGTCATCTGCGACCCACCGTCCTACCGTGGGACATTGTCCATATGGATGTTTGGTCAAAGTATATGGATATTTGGCTCATGTTTGGTTCAAGTGACATTGATATTTGGCTCAAATGTAGGTGGATTGAACTTGTACATAGTAGTAACACATGGATACCTTGAAACAATGGCAGTGACTTTCTCCAGTTGCTTGTGGATGTAGACGGGGTATTTGTCTCTAGCCAAGATATGTTTTGCTCGAGGGATATAGGTGTGTGTTGCAAGGCATGTTTGACTAAATATACATGTGAAAGTGTGGCTCAAGGCATATGAATGTTTGACTAAATATACATGTGGATGTGTGGCTCAAGGCATATTAATGTTTGACTAAATATATGCTCAGCAGCAAAAGAACCGTCAGTACGAATTCAAAGTTAGATAGGCACTGTAATCAAATCATTACAGAAATGGACATAATAAGCGGATCAAAAACATTTTTTGTGAACAATATCCTGACACATCAATGAATAAGACACAATTCCAAGACATTATGTGAACGTTTGCAGTCCATTCAGACTCTTGAATTTAGTATCTAGTGTGACCACCACGAGCGGCAATAACTGCAGCACAGCGTCTATGCATGGACTGCACCAATCCATTGATGAAAGCCATTGGCACCTTGAACCACACTCTGGGAAAGGCCTGGTGCAATAAATCGGCTGTGTTCGGCCTTGGTATGGCATTATTCAGTTTCCTCTGAATTTCATCCCAAAGACGTTTAAATCATGACTAAGGGCTGGCCACTGCATAATGTTGACACCGCGTAGCTCTGGCAGTATGGGACCGGATGTTACCATGATATTAAATGTTTTTCCGGTGACGTGCGAAATGTGGTATGACGTGGGGTCTGAGAGCTTGGTCGATGTAGCGCACCGCTGTGATGCCGCCTCCTCTACCTGGACCAATTTGCAAGATTCTGGAACACCACAGGACCCACTGTCTGGTTCAGGCCTATTCCACCCAATACCATGATGCTTGCACCTCCCCATGAGTCTCTTTCCATAACACATTGGTCTGAGTAATGCTGGCCACGTAGTCGCCATATACTTGTTCTGCCATCTGCAGTTGATACGCAGTACTGACTCTCATCTGTGAACAGAACAGTTCTCCATTGCCTGTATCACTAGTTTTGGTGTTGTAGGGCAAATTGTAGACGTTCACGCCGATGACAAGGCGTGAGGATAGGTCCACGGTAAGGTCCATGGCAATAGAGGTTCCTGCTGTTAAGATGTCGGCGTACTGTATCAGTACTGATTGGTCTTCCGTGTGTTCCCACTGTCTGGCATGCTGTTTCGGATGCCTGCATGAAGTGATTCTGTACATGCTGTCGCACAACATGGCGGTCTTGTTGTCTTGTGGTCACCCTTGGTCTGCCAGTATGGGGGCGATCATTTGTGGTGTTGGTGGCCGGGAAATGTTGCTGCAGCCTGTAGATGGTCCGAACGCTGACCTGGAAGTGATTGGCAACGGCTTGTGTGGCCAGCTTCAAGTCTTCCTAGCGCCTGGTTCCTCTGAGCTGTCGTGAGTTGCGGCATCCTGTTGATGTTGTAATGTGAATGTTTCAACCAGGTTTGGGGGTGCATATTATAGGGCTAGTCCTTGTGAACAGCACGTGCAGCATGAGTTGCATGAAAAACATGGAGAACACCATACCATCTCCGAGATCAGGTTGCATTTTTGAGACCATTTCCTGGGTTCCTTTCTGTGTTTGGGAAGGAATGTCTTTGTTCAGGTAAATATACATGTGGATGTTTAGCTCAAGGCATATAAATGTTTGACTAAATATACATGTGGATGTGTGGCTCAAGGCATATTAATGTTTGACTTAATATACATGTGAATGTTTGGCTCATGTTTGACTAAATATTGTTATGAGAGTTGTATGAAATTCTATTCTTTGTTCGAATAACGCTACCCCCTTTTTTTTTTCTTTTGTTTCTAACATAAAGTACTATAAACAGAGTTATCTCCCTTCCCCTTGAGCATGTGATTATGAACTGGAGCGAGAAGCTGACGAACAAAAATTTTATTAAAGGTAGTTTGAGCACGGAAACTTGCCGCATATTGGTGGACTCTGTTTATAGTAACACAACCACGAATGTAACCTCACCATGTCACAATCAATACAAGTTATCCAGCACCGAGATGTGAACGTCTTTTATCAAGTTAGTGAATGCTGGTACCTGATGTTTGACCACAAGCGCAAGCAAGAGACAGACCACAAAAAACAAGCACAACAAACAAGGGTACGCCATGGCTACATAGACTCCTGGATAGATGAACTGGTCATAGGCGAAGAAACACAGCTTCAGTGGGAAAATACGCCAGTCACAGAACAGATTGCTCATGCACTGATAAAGGTTGAAAGCGACAGAGACCTACCAAGAGTTGACATTCCTAGGTTTAACGGAAGTGCTTTACAATGGCCCAAGTTCATTGAGCAATTCGACCGCCTCCGTGGTGTAGTGGTTAGAGCGTCCGCCCGGAGAGCGGAAGGTTGCGGGTTCGATCCCTGACCGCGTCATACCAAAAGACGTTAAATATGGTACTTGTTGGTCCCTGTCTGGCGCTCGGCATTAATGGGTACAACAAGGACTGGTCGGCTCGGAGTCAGTATAATGTGTCTGAGTGGGGTATTCATGCTTCACTGCGGCATGGTATCTCAGTGGGCTAGCACTATAGAACCAGCTTAAGTCTGGGCTAGTACAAGCAGCCGCACATACACATACACACGCATGCATGTGGTCATATGACCGAAATATTCTCAAGCACGACGTTAAACCCAATTTCACCTCACCTCATTGAGCAATTCCATTATCAAATCCATTCAAGACCAGTAATCAATGACGCACGACGAATGGACATTTTACAATCTCTCCTAGAAGGTGAAGCGAAACAGCTTGTCGAAGGTCTTGGGTTCAGTGGTAGACATTATGCACTTGCTATGAAGGAACTTAAACGCTCGTTTGGTCACAGGATGAAAGTCGCAAGAGCTTTTATCGAGAAGATAACCAATGGCCCAGTTCTCAACTCTAATGATACCCAAGCAAGGAGAAAACTCTACATTTCACTGAGGGACTGCATAATTACATTACAGTTGTTGAACTATGAATCCAACTTGTTGAGTTGCGAGATTGTTCTTAAAGTAGCCAGACGTTTACCTGCGGACAAGGTGGGCAGATGGAATGAACATGTCAGAGTACTTGCGGCAACCAATGATCCTACTTTGATTGACTTGCTTGACTGGATGCGAGACAGAGTTGAAGCTGAGACTAATCCATTCGCCATTTCTCAAAGAAAGCAAAGCAGACCACAGCAGTCGAGGCATGAAGATAAACTGGGCACAGTTTATAACATGAATGAAAATACTCACAGCGAGAAAACTCCAAACTATGGAATGCCACACATCACAAAATCAGCAGCAAGTCAAGTTCAACAGAACACCAATGTCAAGTCTCCTTCATATCCAGACAACAGTAAGGTGCCATGTCACATGTGCTCTGAAGGTCACTATCTCTATAGGTGTCCCTTATTTGCTAACAAGACAGTTAAGGAGAGAAAAGACATTGTCAGAACAAATAAGTTGTGCTATAATTGTCTCAAGCCAAATCATGGTGTCGAGAAGGGTTTTTCTGCCATCAGCTGTCAGGAATCCGGGGGCCAAAGACGCCACGACACAATGCTGCATCAAGGAGTACAGAAAAACGACGGACCATGTGACAAATAGAAAAGCAATTTCTCATAATGACTTTTCAGTCCTATTTCAGATAGTGCCGGTCTATGTTATGGGACAGACTGGAAGAATTAAAGAGACATTCGCGTTATTGGATTCTGGCAGCGATGTAACTCTCATCCAGAGCTCATTGGCAGATGAACTCTGTTTGAAAGGGAAGAAACAAACTCTAGACATGACTACACTCAGTGGAAACTCCAAGCACAGCTCTCAGAAGGTTCATCTACAGATCAAAGGTGTTGCACCGGAATTCAAGACAGTTCAAGTCAAGGGCTCTTGGACTTACAATGGAGCATTTAAATGTAAATCACAACATGTTGATCCTAAGTGGAAACACCTTGCTCATCTCAACTTGCCTGATGTTGGTTCATCGCAGATTCAACTTCTCATTGGCCTGGATACTCCTCAAGCACACCTACAAGAAGATGCTATCTCGGGCGACAGCAGACAACCTTATGCAGTGATGACGCCATTTGGTTGGTCGCTGATTGGTACGTCAACGCATGACGACAGATCACACACAACACAAGCACATGTTAACTTCATCATATCACAAGATCAGAGTTTGCAGGATCAAATAGAACACTTCTGGAAAACAGAATCATTTGGGACGAAACACAACTTGAAGGAAGCCATCTCGGTTGTAGACAGAAAAGCAAAGACTATATTGGATGAAACGACAACATTAGTTGACGGTCACTACCAAATCGACATGCTTTGGAAGAGCAATAACACTCAGCTACCAAACAACTATCCTTACACACGCAAGAGAAATAACCTGCTCATGAAAAAGCTTGACCGTAGTAACCAGTTTGAAGAAATGTACAGCAAGACCCTGAACCAGTACATTGACAAGGGTTATGTAACCAAAGTGACTGACAGTGTGTCCTCTGATTATGAGAACAATCCGCGCACATGGTACATTCCACACCATGGTGTACAAAACCCGAACAAGCCTGGTAAAGTACATGTTGTCTTCGATGCTGCTGATTCCTACAAAGGGACCTCATTGAACGACAACTTGATGTGTGGACCCGATCTAGTCAACAGTCTCTTCGGCATATTACAGAGATTTCGCCTGTATGGTATTGTGATTGCTGCCGACATGGAAGCGATGTATCACCAAGTGCCCGAACATGACTCTCACAGTCTGCAGTTCTTGTGGAAAGTTAACAGATGTGAACCAGGCCCCCCAGATATCTACAAAATGGGTGTTCACATATTTGGAGCAACAGATTCCACCGCTTGCGCCAACTATGCTGTTAAGCGAACTGCACTTGATAATGCTGACCAATTCTCACCTGTAGTAATTCACACAGTGCTTCATCATTTTTACGTCAATGAGTTATTGAAATCTGTCAAACTGCCATCTCCGGCTACTGAACTTTCAAGGGATATGACAACATTAATGGAGAAAGGAGGCTTCCATCTCCATAAATGGATAAGCAATTCATCTGAAGTTTAATGTTCCATTCCAGAGACAGAGAGGGCTATTCAAACTTGGATCTTGATTTGGATGAATTTCCTGTACAACAAACACTCGGTCTCAGGTGGGACGTAAATCAAGACTGTTTTGTTTATAACTCCATTTCAGGATCGATGCCGACCACCAAGCGAAGTATCGTGAGTACAGTGTCTTCCATCTTTGATCCATGCGGCTACCTATCACCATTTACCGTGCGAGCTATAGTCATCATTCAAGAGCTGTGGAGACAGAAAGTCGACTGGGATGACGAATTACCAACAATGATACAGAGAAAGTGGGAAGAATGGTTAGACGAGCTTGACAACTTCACATCATTTAAGCTGACAACCTTCAACTGCATGTCTTCGCTGATGCCTCGGAGAAGTCCTTCGGTGCACTAGCATACTTGAGGTATGAGACAGGTTCGACTAGCATCAATTGTTCATTCCTATCCTCGAAGACGCGTGTCGCTCCCATAAAGCTGGTGTTATCGATCCCTCGACTTGAACTCCAAGGTTCAGTACTAGCACTCAGACTTGGAAATTCTCTGCAGAAGGTGTTAGGATTACCTGAACTCATATTATAGACAGATTCTATGACAGGATTACCTGAACTAATATTATAGACAGATTTTATGACAGTGCTGCAGTATCTGAACAACAAAATGAAGCAATTCAAACCATTTGTAGCCAATCAGATTGCTGAAATTCTGGAATCAAGCCAGCCTACACAATGGCGTCATATTGCAAGTTCACAAAATCCTGCGGATTATTGCACAAGAGGAATGACTATAGCACACCTGACTGGGAGCAGTTCATGGTTCAGTGCACCTGATTTTCTTCACAATAGTGAAGACACTTGGCCGTTATTTGGATGTTTAGCTCAAGGCATATCAATGTTTGATTAAATATACATGTGGATGTTTAGCTCAAGGCATATCAATGTTTAGCTTAAGGCACATGGATGTTTCACTGAATACAGGGTAAGAATTTTCCGTGGATCCTATGAATTCCAGGAATTTCATAAGGCCAAGAATCATTTTTGTGAATCGTCTAAATCTGTTGACAATTGTATGAATGTGCTTCAGCAGATTAAAAGTTTGTTGATGGTTTGCTGTGTTCATGATATTGTTATTTCTGAGCCAGTTTTAAAGGTCTTAAATGCCTAAATATCAGGAGCTTCGGCTAGTTTTCAGAGTTTTTATCTAAACTTCATTCTCATCCCTGTGAATACAAAAGCTTATTTCACTGAAGACATGGATGTTCAGCTCAAGGCAAAAGCATGTTGGATTAAGATCATTTGTTTCAAGGGATATGACTGTTCAGCTCAATGCATGTATGGCCAAGGAATGTGGACGTGTGGCTGAAAACATTTGTGTACTTGCCTCAAGGCCTATGGATGTCTGGCTCAAGCTATACACGTTTGGCTTAAGGCATATGAATGTTTGGATGGAATATAGATGGAATAAACATATTGATGTGAATAACACAATATAGAATGTTTATCTCAATTACCAGGAATTTCTCCTTGAGTTTTGTGTCTGAACCACTGTGGATGTGAGAGGGAGAGAGAGATCACAGGGTACATCTGAGTTTTGTGTCTGAACCACTTTGTATGTGAGAGGGAGAGAGAGATCACAGGGTACATCTGAGTTTTGTGTCTGAACCACTTTGTATGTGAGAGGGAGAGAGAGATCACAGGGTACATCTGAGTTTTGTGTCTGAACCACTGTGGATGTGAGAGGGAGAGAGAGATCACAGGGTACATCTGTGGATGTAAGAGGGCAGAGAGGGGATCACAGGGGTGTAAGAGGGCAGAGGGAGATCACAGGGTAATCTGAGTTTTGTGTCTGTGGATGTGAGAACCACTGTGGATGTGATGAGGGAGAGGGAGATCACAGGGTAATCTGAGTTTTGGGTCTGAACCACTGTGGATGTGAGAGGGGAGAGGGAGATGAGAGGGTACATCTGAGTTTTGTGTCTGAACCACTTTGTATGTGAGAGGGGAGAGGGAGATCACAGGGTATATCTGAGTTTTGGGTCTGAACCACTTTGTATGTGAGAGGGGAGAGGGAGATGAGAGGGTACATCTGAGTTTTGGGTCTGAACCACTGTGGATGTGAGAGGGAGAAAAGAGATCACTGAGTACATCTGAGTTTTGTGTCTGAACCACTGTGGATGTGAGAGGGAGATGAGAGGGTACATCTGAGTTTTGGGTCTGAACCACTGTGGATGTGAGAGGGCAGAGGGAGATGAGAGGGTACATCTGAGTTTTGTGTCTGAACCACTGTGGATGTGAGAGGGGAGAGGGAGATCACAGGGTAATCTGAGTTTTGGGTCTGAACCACTTTGTATGTGAGAGGGGAGAGGGAGATGAGAGGGTACATCTGAGTTTTGGGTCTGAACCACTGTTGATGTAAGAGGGCAGAGGGAGATCACAGGGTACATCTGAGTTTTGGGTCTGAACCACTTTGTATGTGAGAGGGAGATGAGAGGGTACATCTGAGTTTTGGGTCTGAACCACTGTGGATGTGAGAGGGCAGAGGGAGATGAGAGGGTACATCTGAGTTTTGTGTCTGAACCACTGTGGATGTGAGAGGGGAGAGGGAGTTCACAGGGAACATCTGAAAGTCCCTGCTGGGCAGGTCAACACAAACGTGTTAGTGTTATTTTTAGATATAAACACCAACAGAATTCCTCACCATTACTGTGAAAAAACACGAAACACACCTTAGACACATCGAACTGTACTAACAATTGCCAAAAACTTGGTCACAATAACTTACTGATGCCCTCCTTGTAGAGATGGGAGTTATCTAGAGTTATTTAGCCAAGGTTACCCTACACTTACACTTGAAGGAGGCTGCATGTCATATGACAAGCCACCCTACACTGGTCCTTGTGGGGGACCTAGTTGATAAGGATAGGAAGGTTAGAGATGATGTTAGTGCAAAGTAAAACTTACTGTGAATAATGTCTGTGCAATCCTTGCAAAACTTTCTAGGCTGATCCATGTCCTCTGCTCTAGTCCCGCTATCCATGCGTTAGGAGCTGCTTGATGGAACCTCTAGGTCTTCGTGGTCCATGGTGGTGTGTGCTCCTGTGCATAGAGCTCAGGTCACAAATCAGTTGAAGTTAAGCACTGTTGAGCGGGGAGAGTCCTTGGATGGGTGACCATGTTTGGCAGCTTGACTCCTAAGAGGATAGGAAGGTTGTTGTTTAAACGGAACTCTCTTGTTCTCCCATCTCACACATCTATTGATGAACTGGCTAATCGGTGTTCGGGCTTCTTCACTGACAAGATCAACATCATACGCCAATCCTTCAAATATCACCATGATGCCGCGAAAGTTCCAGTAATCACGAACAACTCCCTTTGTCCTCGTTTAGATCTGTGACGGAAGATGAAATGTCCAAACTTGTCTCCAAATGTCCAGCGAAATCATGTTTGCTTGACCCATTACCAACGTGGCCCTTGAAAGAAACCATTCAATCTCTTCTTCCTATCTGGACATATATCACCAACAGTTTGCTAAGCCAAGGTGTAATGCCTGATCAACTGAAGACAGCAATTATCACTCCCCTCATAAAGAAGAAGAATCTCGATCATGAACTGTTAAAAAACTACACACCAATATCCAATTTGACATTCATTTCTAAGCTGATTGAGCACATTGTTGCTTCTCAATTCAGAGACCATATGAGCAGAAACAGCTTTGTGGGCGTCTCGGGGTATAAAAGTTTATTAAATACAAAAGTTCATAGTGGGTGGGATAGGTTAGGTAGTTGGGTGGGCGGCTGACGTAGTACCTACCTTTGTAGTCAAATATGTAGAAGCCTAGGCCCATGCGGACCTCGTGGCCGGGGAGACAGGACGATGTCACGCTTCTTGCATGCTCTGCCATCTTGAGGGGCAGAGATGCAAGGAGCGTGCGCATTGGCCGAAATCTGGATTTCCCCAGTCACGTGGCCCGATGTCGACTTTATAGGCCTACCCTAGGTAGGGAATCGTCAGTCGTCCGATACCCGCATCGGGTAAGTTTCTAGCGACTCCGAGTCTTGAATCAAGACCAAGTTTAAGTTTCCACGTATTGTTTGTTGTTTTAGGGATGTCGTGTTGATTTAGTGTTAGCTTGGGAAGGGGGAGAAATAGTATAGGAATGAGTAGGTTTTGAACAGTAGTGCAGAGAAGAAACAGACAGTACCGTGACCCTGGTGCCTGTCTTTTACAACACTCACGCGCTAGGGGCCTATTACAAAACAGACGCCCAGTGACAGCAGAACGTTGTATATGTATGACAAGTGTCGGTTGGTTACTGAAGTAAAATGCTTTGCGTTGTGTTTGTTAATTGGTCTCTTTACGTGGTCAGTACATCTTGTCTGCAAGTTCTGTGGGAATGGTTCCTGGCGGGTTCTCCCAATTCAACTCAATTAAAGTCAGAACAAACAAATATTTAGGTTTCCATTCTTGTTTATTGTGAAAAAAAACGTATTAATCTAAACAAGCCTACATATATCTACCTACCTAAATCCTACATAAATACAGTTTAACTTTGGTTTATGTCCACCCCCTAATACCTACTCCCCGAAAACAACAAAACAAAACCTACTCATTCCTATACTATTTCTCCCCCTTCCCAAGCTAACACTAAATCAACACGACATCCCCAAAACAACAAACAATACGTGGAAACTTTAAACTGGTCTTGATGCAAGACTCGGAGTCGCTAGAAACTTACCCGATGCGGGTATCGGACGACTGACGATTCCCTACCTAGGGTAGGCCTATATAGTCGACATCGGACCACGCGTGACTGGGGAAATCCAGATTTCGACCCAATCGCGACGCTCCTTGCATCTCTGCCCCTCAAGATGGCGGAGCATGCAAGAAGCGTGACATCGTCCTGTCTCCCCGGCCACGAGGTCCGCATGGGCCTAGGCTTCTACATATTTGACTACAAAGGTAGGTACTACGTCAGCCGCCCACCCAACTACCTAACC